AAGATCCATTTAACATCAGCTACAATATCCCTAGTACCACGACCTCTTCTAAATCCAGCCTGGACTTCTGGCAGTTCTCTGCTGATGTGCTGTTCCAGTCGTTTTTGGATAATCTTCAGTAGAATTTTGCTTGCGTGTGTAATTAATGACATCGTTCTATAGTTTCCACACTCTGTTGGGTCACCCTTCTTCGTAATGGGAACAAATATAGATCTCTTCCAGTCAGGTGGCCAAGTGGTTGTTCTCCAGATTTCTTGGAACAACTTGGTGAGCACATCCAGGGCAGCATCTGTTAGCTGAAATATGTCAATTGGTATACCATCTATCCCTGGGGCCTTATTTTTTGCTATTTCCTTCAAAGCAGCTTGAATTTCATCACCATAGGCTCTTGCTCATATGTGATTTCTGTAAATTCTTCTGTGTTTGCCAGTTCTTTCTGATACAGTGACTCATTATATTCTTTCCATCTTCTTTTAATACTTCCCGGATCATTTAATATTCTGCCTAAAGCATCCTTGATTATAGCAACTCGAGGTTTAAATTTGTTCTTCAGTTTCTTGAGTTAAGAAATGCTGAGCGAGTTTGGCCCTTTTGATTTTCCGACTCTAGCCTCTTGCACATTTCATTGTAATATTTTACTCTGTCATCACGCACTGCCCTCTGGAATCTTCTGTTCAGCTCTTTAGTATCTTGAATTCTTGTGTTTTGGCTTTTCTGCGCTCCACTGCACTCTTCAGAGTTTCTTCTGATATCCATTTTGGTCTTTTCTTCCTCTTCTGTTTTTGTAATGACCATCTGCACTCTTCCTGGATGATACATCTGACATCCTCCCACAACTCATCAGGTCTTCGATCATTAGTGTTCAAGGCCTCAAACCTGATCCTGAGATGGGTCTGAAATTCAGGTGGGATGAACTCAAAGTCATATTTTGGTTCCCGTGGATTCAGTTTAATTTTCGTCAGCTTCAGCTTGAACTTGCATATGAGTAGCTGGTGGGCTGTTCCACAATCAGCTCCTGGCCTTGTTTTTACAGCTGATATTGAGCTTCTCCAGCAGTTTTTTCCGCAGATATAATCGATCTGATTCCTATTCATACCATCAGGTGATATCCATGTGTATAACCTGCGTTTATGTTTCTTATAAAACGTATTTGCAATGAATAGGTCATTGATTGTGCAAAATTTGATCATTCTATCTCCAACTTCATTTCTCTCACCAAGTCCATGTTTTCCAACTACTGATTCTTTTTTCTCTTTTCCCAATTTTGCATTCCAGGCACCCATTATTATTAAAGCATCTTGATTGCATGTTCGATCGCTCTCTGACTGTAAAAGTTGGTACAAATCATCTATTTCTTCTTCTTTGACTCTGGTTGTTAGTGCATATATCTGAATGATAGTGGTAAAATGTTCAACCATAAATGCCCTTGCTTAAAATAAAAATAAACAAACTTAAACCTCCTTTATACAATTCAATGTAAGCTTTTGAGGTGCACTTTTTATGAAAATACAACAAATTTAAATAAAATACATAAGGACTATAAACAATGTTGTCAAAAGCATCATTATTATAATTATCTGTAGAAACTTTGCAGTAGTTCAATAGTTTTCTAGACATTGAATTTTTACCCAAGAGCTCACTTTCTCTAATAAAGCTGTCACTGAAACTATTATTAGTCTTACTGGTAAAAATAAACAGAAAATGGTACTCACCTCAGTTCCTACGGGTGTAATACTTTTCAATTTCTTTGGAACAGGCATTTCCACTGTATCATCGGATACTTGGTCTGATGCTTCTATGGTGCTATCTTCTTCTTCTTCACGTGTACGCTTTGGCAAAGAAGAACTTGGAGTAGCTGAAACTTTTAAATTATGTCATTTAAATCTTGAATTACAGTTTGATACCAAATTTAATTTAGATAAAAATAACTTTAAAACATTGTTTTTATTAGTTAACATAGTCTTTAAATGAAATAAGGGCATGGTAAACATTAAATTGTATAGATAATTATGAACCGTCGAGTCCAAGCCAACCCATAGATAACTCTCCAGTGGGTTTTCAAAGGCAGTTAATCGCACCGGAGGAGACTGCCTGCCCATCCTTCTCCCACGGATCAGCTGGTGGCCATATGTCTCTGGGATTGCAGTGCAGGTTCTTGCCACTAGGCCACCAGAGCTCATAATTATAATCAACTAAATAATATAACTTTATGTCAACATATTTTGCTTTTGCTAATTACTCAAGTGTTGGAGTTGGTGAAGATGGCAGAGGCTTGGGCATGGTTCAGAGTCACTGTCCATAGGGAAACTATGAGTTATAGTTGACTCGACGGAACATGTGTAAAAAAAAGGCAATTCATACTCTGATTCATCCAATACTATCAACTTAACCTTATAAAGCTGGGCAAATTTTATAGTTAATGATTTGCTGTGACTGAGGTGATGATAAGTAACTGCTATTCACAAAGAACAGTCAATATTTTATAAACACTAGGATTTTTTTGGATAAAATAACTCATACTGTATTAGAAAATGGGTATATGACCTTGTTTTAGTACTCAGCATCAGCAGTGTATCACTAATGCCCCAGGTAGTATCATGTTGGTAATCTGTCAAAAAATAGCTGGCAGCAAAGCAGGATCTTAATGACAAAACAAGTGATGTAATATAGAACTTGTAAGAAAATAGAAAATAAAATGTTAGGCATACATTCACTCATTTATTCCAGTACCTTGTAGAAAATAAGTTATAAATAAAGTCTACACTAACTTAATTTTAAAATTTATCTTACCAGTGCCAAACACAGCAGTGGAAGTAGAAGGTCGTTCAATTGGTGAACTCTGAACAACCTCTACTATGTTTGGGGATACTTCTTGATTTGCAGGTTCAATCTGAGGATGACTCTGTTGAGTGGGTTGCACAAAAGCTGTTGCCTGTGTTTGCTGCTGAACAGTTAAAATAGGTTGAGAGAGAGAAGGCTGGATATTAGGACTAGTTGAACGAACAGATCCACTTGTGCTTCCAAAAACAGGAACATGTTCCACAGGTCCTTCTGACTGCATAGCTGGAAAAGAGTATTACTGCTTAATAAACCATTAAAAAGACATCTATTTTAATAGCTGTAAAAAAGAATCTAAATAATTGGCTTAAAAAATACGTAAGAAAATAAGTCTTCTACTTTGAGTAACACTAGTATTATGTTGCTGTACACTGTGGTATAGATCATATTTTATTTTGCACAGTTTCTTATATGCACACCTCTTATCCATTAGACAAAACTCTGTGGACAAATACAAAGTATTAGGCATTTCTGAGCCACCCATTTAATTGGTATGGAAGTCTGCAATAAATTTTGGTTGAATAAATCTATCAAATAGTTTTGGCCTCTATTATTCTACTTTTAGTCAAACAAAAAAAGTGAAATTAAGATGTTCAGAGAGAAATTATTTTAAACGTGACAAAACTAAGATCAGTTTAAATAATAAAAGTATTTAATAATCATTCTTTAAGTGAAATAAGACTTGCATATTCATAGGATATACATATATACAGTAGCCCTTGAATAATTTATTCAAACACTTTTAAAGAATACACAGAAAATGCTTATTCATTTAGCAGAGTTAAACCCTTTTCTGAGGTCGGGTAATTAAACAATGAAAATGATCCTTTATCAATGATCCTTATCCTTGAGGTCAATCTAGTAAAATAAAAAGGTATGAGGACAAGTGAATGAAATACAGAGTAGCAACCAATGAGAAAATAGTGAGCAAGGTAAGGAGCTGTGTTGCAATCCTGAAAGCATCAAGTTTAAATCTACTAGCTGCTCCATGAAAGAAAGATGGTAATCTCCTTCTGTACAATAAAACTGTTTCTGAAAATCTGCTGGAGGGTCAGCTACGGAGTCTATTCCAACTTGATGGTACATAAGAATCAAGTAAGGAAACAGAGACCTTCTCAGTGAAAATGTGATGAGCAGAAACAACAATGCAGCACAATTTAATTTTGCACAGAATTCATGTCATTATATAGGAAAAAAAAGTTCTGTTAAAAAAATAATCACCCACCAAAACCATATAGTGACAAGGGTATTTATTTTACCCTGTTCTCGAGCTTAATAATGGCACAAAATAGTAGCAAAAGTGGGGAAAAAACAAAGAGGAGAAACAAAAGGCAGCATAGAAAGAGGGAAGAGAAGATGAAGGAAAGAATTTATTTCAGGAATACTAGGAGACACTCTCCACCAGTTTTTACTGTGATGTGTGACTTCACCTTTACTAAGAGTCTCATTTAAGTTACTATGTCATCATTTTATAACATGAACAGTATTTATTATTTTACCTAAAATCCGTATTATTCTACTTACCTTCTTGCGATTCCACTTGTGTAGTGGGCATTACTGTAGCAGTTGGAGTGGTAGTGGGGTTTGCAGGTGTAACCATTGGGCGGATACTAGCCCTGGGTGTAGCCTTGTTTCCAGCCATAGCTGCAGCTGTCACCTTACTCGGAGTAGACACAACAGGAGTTGGCTTGATATTGGCTGTTGGTGGCTCTGATGTGCTAGCACTTACAGAAGGAAAAATCGAAGAATGAAGATTTAGGAAGTAATTACTACAAATACTGCTTAGAAAGTGCATAAACTTTACTAAAAGTAAAGTGCATACATTTCCTGAAGTAGCTGTTCAGCAAGATGACTGTAATCTTGATTCAGACTCTACTAGTTTTCCTAAATGCTTTAAGTTGGCTTCTGGCAGATACAGGATAGAGAGAGACACACACACACGTGTGCATGCTGGATGTATGTCCATTTAAAGAGACAGCACATATCCCCATTTTTAAGTCACTAAGTATTTCAAATCTTCAGTAAGTGGTTGTGACTTCAAGTACTAAAATTATGTGGTTAATTTTTCCACAGGGAGCTATGGTGGTACAGGCCATAAAAGGTGCCGCTCACTCTAAGCTTTGTCTGTCTAGTGGTTCAAATCCACTAACTACTCTGCAAGAGAAAAATGGGCAAGCTCTTCTACTGCTCTTGATTGCCTCTGAAACAAAATGAAGGTCCGCTAGGAGTAGGTACAAACTCAATGGCGAAGAAATGAGATTAAGTATTCTAATGTGGTGAATTTAGAATTTGGATTAATTGGAAAGTATCCTGACAATGCAGAATTTATTCAATTACTGAATCATAGCGCCCAAGTCTTTTTTTTTAAATTTTATTATTTTTTTGTGTGTATTGTCAAACTGGATCTGACTCGTACAGGAGGAAGACTGTCCTTCCTCCAGCAGAGCATCTGGTGGATTTGAACTACATACCTCTGGGATTGCAGTGCAGCTTCTTGCCACTAGGCCACCAGAGCTCCCCTGAAACCAAGTCTTAACTTACACTCTTAAATGCTGTTTTATGATATTGTGAGAAAAATTTTAGATGTAAAGAAAATTAGGATCTAAAGAGTAGACAATACTTTTTCTGTCACAAAGCTCTACACAGTAATAATCAAAGAAAAGTAACTGAAAACAAGCATGCTGGATGCTTAGGGATAGGGGGACAGGATGGGCAGGTGGGTGTGGTCTCAAAGTTGGCAATTATTGCATGATAGCTTTTCAAAGACAAAAAGATCTCTACCTACAACCAGGAGAAGATATAGTAGATGAATGGGATCTTCTAAGACTCAAATCCCTATGCACATCCAAAAACTTCTCCAACAGAGTAAAAAGGGAAGCCACTGACTGGGAAAAAGTATTTGGTAATAACATATCAGATAAGGGACTTATATCCAGAATTTATGAAATACTTGAGCACCACAACAAGATAAAGGTAAATACTC